CTGCCCCCTGGATCTGACCCCTCCCCTCTTGTCCCCAGGCAGGAGGAACGTGCTGGGGAGGAAGAGCGCTGGGACTGGCACAAGGGGGGAGGGAACCCCTTTCTTCCTGGCCCTCCAGCTGTGGAAATCCCCCCTCCCAAAGTGGGCATTTCCTTGGGCAGACCCGCTGTGGCTGGGAGGGGGCCTGGCCCAAAAGGTAACTGGGGTCCACTGGGGGATTACAATTCCAGGGATTTTTGTATGTGTGTTTTGTTTGTATGTGCAGCTGATGCAATTATACTTATTTCACTCGTTAATCCTTCAAGTCATCAATCAGGCAACATACACTACTTTTCAACCAGTCTCTCCGGGTTCTGCCCCTTCCAGAGATGGGGTGCCTTTTCTTTTTTTTTCTGGGTTTGTGGAAACCCTTTATTTATTCTTGGGGGGCCCCTGGGCTTTACGAGTGGAATGGCGGGTGACTAAAGAGCTCCTGCTGGGTTGGTGCCAAGAGACCAAGGGGACCCCCAGGAGGGCCAGGCCAAGCGCCTGTGAGGGAGGAAGGACCCCTCAGCCCAGGAGAGGCAAGGTGGCCAGCAGGCCGGGGGGGGGCGCCTTCTTCAGGAGAGCAATGAGGAAAATCACACACAATTCTTTTATTTGCTGTGTTTTATTTATGCTTTATTTGACAAGCAAGGCTTGGCATCGGCCCTCTGGGGCCCTTTTAGCAGAGACGGGGTCTTCATCCTTTCCCCATCGGGGTGGGGGTTTTGCAATGCCCCAAATCTGCACTTCTCTGCCTTGAGCTCTTAGCAGGTTGCTGCAGAGGAGAGAAGAGAGAAGAGTCATCGCAGGAGGAGAAATGAGGAGGTGGAGCTTCTATGAAGCGCTGATGAGCCCTAAGTATCTCGAAGCTCAGCTTGTGAACACGACTTGAAATGAAGGAAAACTCCCCCCAGGTCTGCCCAGGAGAGTTTCCACCAGCCCAGAAGAGGTGATTGCAAAGGACCGAAGGGTTACCTAGCAGGACGCTGTGTAAAACGTCTCCTGTTATACCCAGAGAGGTGGCCACTGT